GAAGAACGTTGGTGCACTTACTGCTTTTTCAGTAAAGGGCTCAAACCTATCGAGGACGAAAGCCATGTATTAATTGACTGTTTGCTTTACTCCTCAGTTAGGGAAAAATTCAACTTTTATCCCCAAAACATCACTGACCTAGCCGGTCTGCTCTCCAACAAAAATCTAGATCCTACCAAATTTACTGCCACAGCAAGAGCAATCCATTCAATTCTCTCTGTGAACGAACAATATACAGCCTATTATAAGAGCCCAGATTTCCACTCAAATACTGGCAAGTGCATAATGCTCTAGGAACTCAAAATAAACTCATGAACCATACAAATTTGATTTACTTAAAGAAAATAGCATTATATTATAACATTTCTATTTTATCCCTACACATTTGTAAATGATTAGAAGTGTGTAACTTAAATTATTTCAGAATTATAACTATTGTGAACTCAATAAAATAATTATCACTTTTGTATCCTTGTATCCTTGTATCCTTGTATCCTAATGCAGCGATTTCATTGGACGCGAACGAGAGCAATTGTTGGCGACGTTTGACTACACATGGCAGTGTTTGATCGAAAACTTGGTTTCAGATCCCCCTTTGGATGTAAAATAAAACTTGGTGTACGAGGCATATGCGCATAAAATTAAAATGCATCGCGCGCCGTAGAAACTAAAAATCTTTAGTTAATTTGCGCGTCTTAGAGGGTTCAGTTTATACTACAGGCTATAATTATAAACATAATAGCCTGAGGTCCCCAGGTAAGTGTTATGGTTTATAAATTTTATTTGTTTCCTTGAATTAGTTGTTGTTTTCTTAATATTTGGACTAAAAGTTTTTAAACCAATGTTTATAATGGTTTGGCTCAGCGCGCGCTAATTTGCAGCACTTGCTCTCGGGCCACATTTCGAGAAGAAAGCGGCGCGCGCTACTTCCAATAAATTGAAACGAATAACATCCGTTAAAAAGGTTTTTTAACACTCAAATTTTTACTATCAGTTTTTAGTTTGATAGTATGTTCAATGTTTATTGTGTGGTAATCCCAGCAAACCCTACCGGCTGGTGTATATCTCCAAAAGTAAAATAAATAGAACCTTCCGGTTTTCAACAAAATTTCCGTCTCGCAAATTTAAAGTTAGCTCCCCAGGAGCCAAATTTGGAACAACTTTGTAGCGCGATGCGTTACTGTGCCGCGCCGCGCACTCAATAAGGCTTCTCACAGCGACATCGGCGAAATGCGCTACTGTGCCGCGCCGAGCTGCCATAAATTGACATCGTCAATTAAGAACAACTTTGTCATACGTTGTATGACCCGCCGCGCACGAAGTGCGCGGCTCCCCCTGTATCGTCAGGACCATAGTGAAACGACCGTGGGGGTCGCAACGTGATACAAGAACAACTTGGATTCTGAATTAAACCGAAAAGTTTGGTTTTGAGCTAAATAAAAGATCACAGCTTTTAAATTTTGCAAAGTCATGTTTACCTGGGGACCTCAGGCTATCATGTTCATAAATAGAGATTCGACGGAATGACAAGCTGAGCGTGGCCTAGTAAAAGCGGCCCAGTAAAAGCTTGTCATACGTTGTATGACCCGCCGCGCACGAAGTGCGCGGCTCCCCCTGTATCGTCAGGACGATAGTGAAACGACCGTGGACGATAGTGAAACGACCGTGGGGGTCGCAACGTGATACAAGTAAAAGCTGACTAGATTTTTATGTTTGAAATTTTGGACAGTTAATATATGTAATATTTTAAGTATTGTCTCTACTAGTTGAAATCTTAGTCCGAAATTTAAATTACTTGTATATTGTACAAAAAAGTCGATTGTATCACCAAAAATTTGCAAAAAATCTTTATTTCTTGTTATTTTCTGATTTACTACGCACTACGGCTTTTTGATTTAAAACGGCTATTTGAGGATAAAAATCATTCTTACGGCTTGTTTGAAATAATTTTGTACTGGGCTACCAAGTTCGCAAAGATACCTACCCAACCAAGACTTTAGGAGGCAAGGGTGGGTTTGTAAACTTAATGGTCTGCACTCTTCGATCTTTTATCACCTGGATTCTTTTTGACATGTTTTTGTAATGGGTATATACTTACTGGGCCTCGCTCAGCCTGTCATTCCGCCGAATCTCTATTCGGTTTATGTTTTTATGTTTGTTTATGAACATAATAGCCTGAGGTCCCCAGGTAAGGTATATACCCTCTATCACTCTCTTGATACTCCAAGTCCCCTAAAATATTTGCTATAAAGGTCTTGCTAGTTATGTATGAAATATATTTATGTTTGCTTTTGATACTAAATAAAATTGTTGTTTTCTTGAATTGTTGTTTTCTTGATAGTGTAAAAAATTAAAACGTTTAATTTCGCTATTATACTTTAATACCGTCCACTTCGATGGACACGGAAGAATATGAGCTGAGGGATCAGAATGCTCTCAGGGGACGGCAAAATGTTACTGGGCGGTGCTCAGCCTGCCATTCCGCCGAATCTTTATACGGCGTGCCTTTTTAGCACATTAGAAATGTTTTAGTGGCAAGTTTAAACCTAGTGACTTTTGTAGTTCACTCCAGGGCCCAAGGATTGATGTCGCCAGCGAGACTCGAACCTGAACGTTCTGATCATAAATTATTAGCCCAAGGTATTTGATCTGGCAGGAAGCAAGTGATTTTATGAGATGTTCAATCGAAATCATTATTGATACATTATTGATCATACATTACTGTACTATTTATATTGTATACAATTTTACGGACAAAATGATTCCAGCAGGGGGCACTCCCAACCCACCGCTTCTGCGGGTAGTTGATGCACTGTTCACAAGCAAGAGCCACTTTGGTCTACCTGCTGTGAGGTGTCTCAGCTAAATGAGTTGATACCTGTCTCTTCCTTTGTGACTGTGATTAAATACAGGAAATTATCACAATTTCTTGTTTTGGTTATAAAATCATGCTTTGAATGAGCCAAAAATACACTAAACCACTAATATTATTAAATTTTGTATTCGGGCCCTACAATCCTACAAACGTGGGTATTCATACAATATCTGCAATTATTTTAAAAGTTGCTTCAATCCCTCAGCTGTATGTTGTCTCACTATTACACAAACTTATTATTATTCAATACCTTAAGAACGACAAATTTAGTCTACCATAAATTTAGTCAAACTTTTTACTAAAATTGTTGTAAACCAAATTTCATGTGACTAAATTTTTTGGCAATTACTTTTGAAGTAGACCAGAATTTTAGTAGAGCACATTATGAATTGAATTTTATTGAGCTTACATTCTTTATCATATGCTTATGATAAAAAGTTAAATATGGCTAACTGTACATATAACAGGTCCCTACTGTGTGTAATAAGAGTTTGTAAGCTATGGTATGTAACTAATGTGTGTAACATGTTGGCTCGCCGTTGGAATTTTCCCAGATCGAGAATATTCCTCCTTACCAAAATACGCGCATTTGGTGTAAGTTACAGGATCACGAGGTTGATAATTTGTCCACGTGACCGTTTGGCGCACGGTGTGCACATGGGCCCATTGGAAATTTCTGATACATGTGTTCCCTTGTCTGTACTTAGTTCACTATAAATATAAAGTATGACATTTATGCGAAATTGGAAAAAAAACTAGCTTAATAATGGAAATCTCAAATAAATGAAATGGAAAATGGCCTCGAAAAGTCAAAAATTCGACTAAAATTGTTGTAGACTAAAAATTTGCGAAATTTGTGCCTAAAATTATGGTAACCAAAATTATAGTAACCAAATTTATTGTGACCCAAATTTGTTGGCCCTAAGGTAATGATAAGTATACATTTTGAATTTTAAGTCCTTTGTAAAGTATTCTATTAAGTGATCATAGGACTGATTTTATATCCTTCATATAGATAGAGGCCTTACCTTTAGCTTTGTATATTGCGAATTATTTAATCTATATTATATTTTAAACTTGACGAAATTTCCCCGGCAACGGGGACATAGAAGAAAAAACACCGAAAATCGACCTCAAAATGACCCTCTGGTGATGCCAAACCCAGCTCGCAAATGGAGTTGAAACCTCGCCATTTTTAGCAGGGTTGTAGAAAAAGGATAGGAATAGGCTATAGCATTCTTAGAATTTTGATTTAGGCTTTAGATTTTTTATAATTAACGTCGGAAGTGAGGTTAAATAATCGTTAGAATAATGGCGTTATTTAAGCAAAGGTTTACTGCGCTGTTGCGTAGCAACGATAAAAATGCACGTGCGCGAGCAACCACAGATTAACAACGCGCGTTGTTATGCTGTATGATACATCATAATTTCAAAACTAGCTCACATTTACGCTCACGCTATGACTTCTTATAACTTTGTTTGTGATTGCAATATTTTGATGCAGTAAAAAGTATCGATACTTTTTTTTCGATACTAAATTCGCTAGAGCTACACACAATGCTGACATGACGCCGCGCACACACAATCAACAAAAATATTGTTGTTTTCTAATTACGCAAATAACTTTGCGCAGTTAAACATTTTAATTGCCTGGCAATAATTCAATTGACTGTCATTCTCGATTGAAATATCAGAATTTCACAACTAGCTCACATTTACTCTCATGACGCTATATACCTATATATAACTTATAACTTTGGTTGTGATTGAAATTTTTTGATGCGGTAAAAAGTATCGTTTTTGGGCTATATGATGAAGAGAAATTAAAACATAACTGATGCTTAAAATTTCCTCGAACAAAGCTTTCGACTAGCGGCGGGTTTCTAGTATTCTATAATTGATAATAATATTTAATATTCTTATTGCATTGCTGTGAAAATTTGATTATAATTTTAATTCTTAATGTTTAAAAAGTTTTTTTTGTAAGAAGACTAAGTTCAGGACAATTGCTAGTGTTAATGTCATGGAAAAGTACAGCACTGAAAATTACATGTAATTTGCATATGATATGCATCATATAATATATTGATAATGTGATATAATATCTCATCAAAATGAATTGAAGGAAGAAGGAGGATGTTATGGGAAACAAGGCTAGCAGTAGCAAAGAAAAAGGTGACTCCAGCGCAAGAGGTTTGTATTAAACACTCATTTATAATATAAAATTGTATTATAGTTTTAAAACAAAGCCATGATATTTAGACTTGATTTATTTCTTATGAATTAATTTGTATGCTAGTAGAACTGTAACAATTTTTATTTCAGTAGCTGCCAAGAGTGCAAGAAAAGGTCCCCTCCCGGAGGTACCAAGTGCAGATGATGTGATTCTAAGAGAACGTCGTAAAGACAAGACACACGAATCTGATATCTTAACATCTCATTCAAAAGATGAATTTAATCCAGGAGCCAAGGTAACATTTACCTGCATCATCTTTTCAATCAAGAAAACACCATTCAAATTAACCATTAGTCACCACACTAAATACACTTAAAATGCTTAATAATTACATATTATATTTGATACACTTGTACTTGAGAACATCACATTGAGATATAAACAGTTCAAGATATAATGCAAGCATTTGGAAGGAGACAGACACTTGCACTGTGTGTTTCGTGAGTCGAAAATTTAAAATAGTTTTTTGTTGCAAATTGTCTGTTAACTTAAGTTTACAAAATAAGCTAATTTCATATTAAAGACGAATTAATATTTCAGCAACCTCTCGAATTAAATCCCCTCCCCACACAAAAGGTTTTCTCGAGAGCATATTGTTGTCTATAGCACTTTTCAAAACATCAATATTTAGCTTTTTAGCCCGCTCTTGATGTTATTTTCCAGCTGTTTTGTTGTTTTTGGGACTGAGTTTGAATAAACCTGACCAGTTTTATCCCTTCTAGTCTGAGTGTCAGCCACCATCCGGTCTTCATTATCTTTTAATACTTTTTTCGGCCATCCTGGTCCAACTGCTTGCATTAAAAATACCTTAATAGCTTCACCATTTTCATAGTTGACTTCCTCCAGGATATATAATAATATGTACATACGACACCACATGTTTAAGTCATTTCATTAATCGTTTTCTAAAATTTTCTACTTTAAGATGGATTATAACCAAGTCATTCAGCCCTAGCTGCTCAAGTATAGATTTTATCTATCTTTCTCTGGGGTAGATCCAGTGATCACTGTTTATTTGTTTAATTTTGTTTAAATTTGGTTTCGTCTGTAAATTATCAGGACTTTCCTGATCGATAGTATGGATGTCGATTTTTCAGCTTCTAAAACTATTCAAGTTCAATCGATATTTCGGGAACTGGTTTTCCCTAATCAGGTTTTCAAAATATTGGACTAATACTTCGGGAATCGGGACCCTCAGATATTGTAATACTAATACGTATTGCATATGCTAGAATACCTTCAAAATTATCTCTCACTAAATTAATTAGATTATTTTGAACTTTTATCACTTCAATTGGCGGAATCATCAATGATAGTTCCCCACAATGTAACGTTTAAGATAACGGAGATCTACTTAAATAACTTCTGTTTTGTGTTTCTGCTGCATTCTTAAAACAATATATAATATATTAGCTGCAATGTTGCCAAAAATATCAACACGAATATCCATTTCAGGTCTTCCTGGTGCTACACGATTTTGACGCAATAGGTCACAACACTGTTTCCGTCCTCAAGAATGAACGGGTGGAACTCAGATCTCAAGTGGAAGTAAATGTCACTTTTATAATGACTAAATTACTGTTTCCTGATGACCTTTCTGTAAATAGTTTCCCCGCCTTTCAGTTGCTACTAAGACTATGACCGGCTGCACTATTTCAATATTTCCTTGCGTCCCAGCTTGTTAAAACTCCTGTCATGACATCATGCTGTATTAGTTCGTCAGCGTTTACAACTTTACTAGTATGTTAAATATTTGCAGGTCTGGAGTGACGTGTTTGTTCCAAGACTTGGTAAATCAGGCTGGATACCTTCCAACTACCTAGCTCCCCTCAACAGTCTTAGTAAGTTTAATAAATTAATTTAGTAAACTTAATTTAGTAAACTTAGTTTAGTAAACTTAGTTTAGTAAACTTAGTTTACTAAACTTAATTTAGTAAACTAAGTTTAGTAAACTTGTAATCACTACTTTATAAAATTGGCTTTTATCCATGTTTCTGTCGGATACCTTGAAAGTATTCATTTACATGTGTTCAGTGTAAATCAAGATAAAACCCAAACATACCCCGGGGAGATCTGGCTCATTATGTATGGTTAATAGTATAATACTAGAATTGTGTATACCTATCCCATGATTAAGTATTGTATTTGAAGCTCTTGAAGTTGTAAAATTATGTTTGTCTCCAAATTCATTTCAAATTCATACTGCATAAATTCTTTGCTATGTAAGAAATCTTATAAAACTTCAAATCCTCTGATCTTATTCCCCTTTTAAGTGACAACTAATCTGCCAGGTCGGTATCCATGGTACCACAAACAGATCACGCGGAGCACGGCCGAGTGGTTGCTACGTAACGGTATTAACGGTAGTTTCCTGGTGCGGGAGAGCGAGAGCACGGCGGGACAGTACTCCCTGTCTGTGCGGCATGAGGGGAAGAAATACCATTACAGAATACAGGTAATGTGTACTGTGCAGTGTGCAGTTTGGGTAGTTTTACCTGAGTTTCAGGCACACTTGCAACTGTTTATTTGAGTTTCAGACACATTATTTACTGTTATTTACTGTTATTTACTGTTATTTACTGTTCTTTTGTCGAGTGTTTATCGGGATAATGGTCTCACACCTTTATGGAAACTAATACAAAAAATCAAATATTAGACGTTCGCGTTGTCGGAAATAATTTGGACCAAAGCAATTTGAACGGAAATGTTCGGAACAGGACTAAAGTTTCATCACAGAAAGTTCCCAAAGTGGGAAAATCCACAGTTACCACTTTCTTTTCCACTTTTTACATCTCGACTTCTGAACATTGTAGAAACCTCTAAATCGGCACAAACGACGCGTGTCCCACAAGTTATTAACAAACATATACCCAAATCCTTTAGTTATTATACATATTATATAAATATATATTTGACTGTACTAAACGTACCTATAGTGGTAGGTTACTGGTTAACTGGTCACCACTTACTACTACTTCTCACCATTGTGTAGTTTTAAAGTAAAAACGTGTGTTGAGTACCTTTGTGTCTACAACTTCATATCACAGAGAGGAGCTATATAACATAGAACCAGGTATACACTATTTCTCTGATATAAAACTTACTTATTTCTTAAATATAAAACTTACTTATTTCTCTAATATAAAACTTACTTATTTCTCTAATATAAAACTTACTTATTTCTCTAATATAAAACTTACTTATTTCTTAAATATAAAACTTACTTATTTCTCTAATATAAAACTTACTTATTTCTCTAATATAAAACTTACTTATTTCTCTAATATAAAACTTACTTATTTCTTAAATATAAAACTTAGGCAAGTTTCCATAAACGATATTTTATGATCGTCGCCGATAATCGCTTATTGAGCGCTTTTTCGGCGCTTTTTTAAAAAAAAACCGTTTACAATCGCTTTTTTTACGATTATAAACGGTTCAAAAAAAAATCGCTTATAATCGACTATAATTGATGTCATAATTCAAAAAAGCGCTTTTTTGAATTTAAAAGCGCTTATAAGCGCTTTTAAGCGCTTACTAGCGTCGCTGAGCGATTTGAAAGCGGTTTTCCAGTAGGATTGGCGCCAAAAACGGGTGGATAAGCGGTTGGCCGGATAAGCGATTCGTAGGCGCTTTTTTGAACCATTTATAAGCGATTATAAGCGCTTATAATTGGGGTGCAATTTAGCTGTTTGTAAAGCGCAAATAAAGCGCTTATAAGCGCTTTTAAAATTGAGTCAGGAAAACGCTATATTACATCTTATAACCGCTTATAATCGATTATAAGCGTTTTTTTAGAAATCGCTTATTACGGCTAATTCATCGCTATTTCACCGCTTTTACCGCTTTTCCTATCATCCATGGCCAGGTGAGCAGGAATTAAAAAGCGCTTATAAGCGCTTTTTCGATGCTGCCCCTAGCCTGGTCGGAACGGGGTAGTGCCCGGAATTTAAAAGCGCTTATAAGCGATTTCTCAATTCCCCTTAACTTGGTCGGAACTTGCATGTGCTTTTCTGAGCAACCTGGGGTGCACCGGCAGAGTCAGGATTTAAAAGCGCTTATATGCGCTTATGATCGCTTTTCTACCACTTTTCCTATCACCCATGGCATGGGTTGGCAAGAATTATAAAGCGCTTATAAGCGTTTTTCAATGCTGCCCCTTAGCTGGTCGGAACGGGGGAGTGCCCGGAATTTAAAAGTGCTTATAAGCGCTTTTTTAATGCCGCCCCTAACCTGGTCGGAACGGGGTGGTGCCCGGAATTTAAAAGCGCTTATAAGCGATTTCTCAATTCCCCTTAACCTGGTCGGAACTGGAGAGTGCCCACTTGCATGTGCTTTTCTGAGCAACCTGGGTTGCACCGGCAGAGTCAGGATTTAAAAGCGCTTATAGGCGCTTATGATCGCTTTTCTACCGCTTTTTCTATCACCCATGGCCTGGTTGGCAAGAATTATAAAGCGCTTATAAGCGCTTTTTCAATGCTGCCACTAACCTGGTCGGAACGGGGGAGTGCCCGGAATTAAAAAGCGCTCATAAGCGCTTTTTAAATGCTGCCCCTTACCTGGTCGGAACTGGAAATCAGAGTGCCCGCTTATAAGTGCTTTTCTGAGCAACCTGGGGTACACGGCAGAGTCAGGATTTAAAAGCGTTCATGATCGCTTTTCTACCGCTTTTCCTATCACCCATGGCCTGGTTGGCAAGAATTAGAAAGCACTTATAAGCACTTTTTCAATGCTGCCACTAACCTGGTTGGAACGGGGGAGTGCCCGGAATTAAAAAGCGCTCATAAGCGCTTTTTAAATGCTGCCCCTTACCTGATCGGAACTGAAAATCAGAGTGCCCGCTTATAAGTGCTTTTCTGAGCAACCTGGGGTACACGGCAGAGTCAGGATTTAAAAGCGTTTATGATCGCTTTTCTACCGCTTTTCCTATCACCCATGGCCTGGTTGGCAAGAATTAGAAAGCGCTTATAAGCGCTTTTTCAATGCTGCCACTAACCTGGTCGGAACGGGGGAGTGCCCGGAATTAATAAGCGCTCGTTAGCGCTTTTTTAATGCTGCGCTTATAAGCGATTTCTCAATTCCCCTTAACCTGGTCAGAACTGGAAATCAGTGTGCCCGCTTATAGTTATAAGTGCTTTTCTGTGCAACCTGGGGTCACCGGCAGAATCAGGATTTAAAAGCGCTTATAGGCGCTTATGATCGCTTTTCTACCGCTTCTACTAAATCGCTCGCCCAAATTTTAAGGAAATTCTTGTGAAAAGGCCCTTTAGGGCATGAAAGTGATCTAGATCGGTGTATTTTTGGACGCTGATTCCGAATCACCCCCCATGACGTAGGGTTAAAATGCTTCCCTGGAGAGTTATGGGCAAAAAACCGTTTTGGTCACGTGACAGGCTAGTAAAATACTAATTCGATTGTTTAGGGCCCGGGTTAGGGTTAGGCTTGTGGTAAGTGTTATGGTTAACTTCGGGGTTATGGTTAGGGTTAGGGTTGGGATTAGGATTTATGTAAAACCGTTTTGTACGGCTGCAAAACCATAAAAACCAAAGTCACGTAAAATTTTTGGGCGAGCGAATTAGTAAAAGCCGAGTTGGACTCCAATATATGGAACAAATATTTTACGAGTGTCACCCGTCAATTCTCGCAATCACATTCAACATTGCGCTTCGCTAGTTTGGTAAAAATTCACCACTAGACTGGGCCTCGCCAAGCTGTGAATTGAAAGATTGACATCGCATTGTGAGTCAATATTTTATTTTGTCTCATGTTAGTTCATGCTGTAAAATGGGCATATCAGCTTGTTTACCGATTACCGCGCAATTGTTTAATTTACTAATTGTTTAATTTACTATGTCACGACGCGACCTGAATGACACAAATAGACCCAATACCGTACCCATGGTTAACAGGTGATACTCTTAATTGACGGATGTTACTCGTCTAAAGTAGCGCGCGCCGCTTTCTGCAAAGTGCGGGAAATTTTGGGAACCAATATATGGTTGCCAAAATCGATGGAGGGTTGGCGACTAGATCAAAGCTCAACGGCTCTGGATTAGGGGTGGACGATAAAATAAACTTGCTCAGATTTTAAATTTTTTTGTAACACTGTTTTCTAGTATAGAGACTGTGAGAATTTTCACAATACCAAATTTGTCATACCTTTTCGGAAAGATCAGTGAGTTTCGCCTCACTAGCTGGGTGCCATTTGCTCTATCCAGAGCCCTTGCGCTTGCAGTAGCGCGCACCCACTCACTTCTTGACGTACTTGTGAAACAAGCGCGCCCGAAGTGGCGCGAAAGCACATGGTTAGGTGAAGGGCCGGTGCCATATTTGATGGTGCGCGGCTTTTGGAGCAAAAGTAGTTGTAAAAGTCGCGTAATTTGTAATTTGACCAAATTCGTTGATTTTTGTCGTATTATTTCGGACACTTTCCTCGTAAGTTTATGAGTACCGTAGATTGGGGTAAAATCGCCGTGTCGGGGAACTTCGCCACTATTTTTCAAATAATCATTTTACTGTTTTGAATTGTTAGGAGATCGATTTTTTGTATAGTATTGTGTTAAACAAATGGTTATAAAGGTATTCCTATTAAAAAATAAACGTTTACCATGTTAATTAAACTCAGGCAACATGAAATATTGCTATAAAGTGGCTAAAATTTCCTGCTTGCATATTTCCCATATTTTACAATTATATCCTTAATTAATTCTGTGTGACATCATTAGCATATGTCCTGTTCATTTAAGGGCAAATTTAGTTAGCCATGATGCACACAACTGATATTATAAAGTTTTCAAATTTGTGTGTGGCGAAGTTACCCTCTCCTGATCCCATCTGTTCGGCGAAGTTTGGCGCGAAATTCGCGCGCGGCTGGCAAAGTCACGCACGTGTATTGGCGAAGTTCGACTACATTTCTACTTCATTCCGGCGATGTTACCCGCAGCATGGCGATGTTACCCCGGCGACCAAATTGCCCATTGTAACACGCAGGCTAGAGCTAGATAAGTAAAATTGGCAGGTATATCAAGGAAATATAATTGAGTTTCGAGTGGTATGGTGCTTAGCACCGAATATATGGTATAGTTTCAGAATGGCGAAGTTACCCCATATTGCAGGGTAACTTCGCCCTGATTTCAGTGGCACCAATCTAGCTGACTATTTATGCCTGGCTGATGTGGTTCATACGAAAACATTTGCTTTACCAATCCTGTTCATATGAGCTATAAACTTTTTCAAGTACTCGTGTCGTATTTTCTAAATAACATGAAATAGCTGTAAAACATGGCGAAGTTCCCCCATTCTACGGTACAGAGTGAGCTCACCAATTTTTGTTGCAATCGGAGGTCGGGAAAGATACTCAATATCTATTTGTTTGAAGAAAATTGTGCTGGCCGAAATTAGCGCTAAAAAACTATCCTACTATACAGTCGGCACGCGCGGCTCACTGTTGATGGC